TTTTTCAGTATGTGGTGACATGGATCAAACATTAGTTCATATAGGAATGCTCTTCCTGTGTGTTTCCCAGAAGTCATGTTGGCTCTGTCCTCGTTCCTGGTCCTGCTGGCGGTTGCCTCCACCACCCTGAGTGTCAACCCAGGCGTGACGGTCAGGCTGACCGATAAAGGCCTCCAATACGGTAAGCTTTACAGCCAAAGCGTACTAATGTGATAAGACTTCTCCCTTGTTTCTTTATCACAACCATCAATTCTGCTTTTCTTCTGTTTCCAGGGAAACAACTGGGCATCGCCGCAATGCAGGAGAAACTTAAATCTATCCAAATTCCAGATTTTTCCGGCTCACAAAGGGTGTCTCCTATTGGCAAAGTCAAGTACAGTCTGTCAAAGTAAGGCATTCTTCACTAACCACTCTGCATTTAGTGAAAAACTGAGACCAACTGTCCTGAAACCGTCTGTTCCAGCATAAGGTTGGTGAACGTGGGGTTGCCGAGCTCTGCGGTGACTCTGGTACCGGGAACCGGGGTCAGGCTGACCATTGGAAACGCCTTCATGAATCTGCATGGAAACTGGAGGGTCAAATACCTCAGAGTAATGTGAGTAAAGACCCTCTCAGACATGAAATGAAGCCCCTTCCTCCAGCACTGAGCCCTCTGTGGATCTCTCCTGAACAGAAAAGACAGTGGCTCTTTTGACGTGAATGTCAATGGACTCACAATCAGCACGACTATCGTCGTGAAAAGTGACGCTACAGGTCGGCCAGTGGTCAGCAATACCAACTGCGTAGCCAATGTGGCCAGTGCCAAAGTCAAGTTCCATGGTGGAGCCAGGTAAAGGGGAAAACCGTGAGAGAACATTACTGCAGACTCACGCTGCAGACCTCTTAACGTGCTGTGGTTGTCTATTTCAGCTGGCTCTACAATCTCTTCAGCAAGTTCATAAACAAGGCTCTACGAAACGCTCTGCAGAAACAGGTGAGGTCGAAGCAGCCAAGACGCTCATATCCACCATCACTTTCTTAATTCATAGAGGAATATTCATTTCCCTTAAACTCAAACACAACATTCAAAGGAGTTCAGATGGGAGCTTATGTCACAGAGCAACACAAAGGATCACAATATTTTAAGTTGGATTAAAAGTGAAAAGAGATGATTAAAATGTACACCAAAAAAGCTCTAAAAAAGTGTGGCAAAACAGACAGGATCATTCAAATTCACCCTGCAATTTTTAAGATTAATTTTAAAAAAGAAAGTTTAAGCACTCAATATTTTTCTACAACTTCACATTTATCCACTACTTTTGTTCCACCACATAAATCCTATTCAGATGCATTGTAGTTTGAGATTATAATCTGGCGAGATTTACATGTCGAGTTAAAGTAAACGTTTAACCACCAACTTTGATCAGGTTACTTTTAATCAGAATGATCCATTTTGTTTGACTCATCCAGCAGTAAATAGTTCGTCTTTAACTGAGTTCTGAGGCAGATCCTCCATTCACTCCCATTACCATCATATTTGCTTCCACATCGCATGTGGCTTTCTCTACCCATTGCACATCATTTCAAGGTTTTCTGCTAATAAAAACTGACCAGTTCAGTTACATTTATTCAATTTTATTTCATAATTGTACCCTATATTAATAACAATTAATTATAAACCAAACAATCTTAGCAATTTATTGCTCAGTTCTGTAGAAATTGATTTTCAAAAAGTTGATTGTTCAAAAAGAATTGAGTCACTATTCCTCTTCCTTCCTGTTGCAGATCTGTCCTCTGGTGGACAAGACAGTTATTGGTTTAAACCCTAAGCTGCAAACACTCAACGGTAAAGCATTTCCTTTTGCACTTCATGAAGATACATGTTTCTGTTCCAGAATGTTAGTTAACATCTCTTTGTCTTATTCCAGTGCTGGCCAAGGTGGACAAATATGCAGAGATTGAATATTCCATGGTGTCATCTCCGGTTATTTCACAATCGTCTCTTGATCTGAACTTGAAGGTAAAGAATTGTCAACGACAGGCCATTTTTAAAGGCTTAATTATACACTTTTTTAAATCTAAGACCTCTTATTTTTTATTTCTGTTTATAGGGTCAGTTCTACAACATTGGGAAGCACCAGGAGCCGCCTTTCATTCCCGCAGCCTTTTCCCTGCCGTCCCAGAACAACAACATGTTGTACATGGCCCTGTCCGCCTTCACCGCCAACTCTGCAGGTTTCGTCTACAACAAAGCTGGAGTCCTCAGTCTGTACATCACAGACGACATGGTGTGCCACTGTTCACTCTTCTATGGCCTTCGAGTCCACAAAATCCCACTTACGTAACAACATTCCTTGCTCAATCCCAAACAGGTCCCCAAAGGCTCTCCGTTCCGACTCAACACCAAAACGTTTGGAGTCTTCATCCCGCAGGTGAGGAACATTTCAAGGATTTATTGAGGAATGCAGTCGTCGTTGGCATGCACTGCATCATGGATCTGCTTCTGTTTTGTCAGATTGCAAAGCAGTATCCAGGTCTGATGATGAAGCTGTTGGTGAGGGCTGAGAAAAGTCCCACCATCACTTTCCAGCCCAAAAATGCAACCGCTGTGGCGACTGCCACGGTGACGGCGTACGCCATCCAACCCAACGGCACACTTTCCCCTCTTTTCGTCCTGAACTTGGTACGTCACACTACAAGATGAAAAATCATTGATTGGAAGAAACAAAACGTAAACATTTCTGATGTTTTCTCGGTAGGAGAGCAGTGTGAGCGCCGACGTGTACGTCAGAGGACTGAACATTGCCGGACGCCTCACTCTCAACCAGTGAGTTGCTCAAAGATGCCGGGAAATGTTTCTGTAAGCTCTGAAGGGATGTTCAATCAGTTCTAACTTTGTTCTGCTTATGTAGGATGAAACTGTCTGTAGGAACCAGCTATGTGGGACAGTTTCAGGTAAGAACTCTATTTTCTGATGAGTCTCTGTAAGGACCCTCAAGTCAAACTCAAGCTAAAATTATGCCTTTGGGTTACAGGTCGGCGTCCTTGACAGTGTGCTCCGAATGGTCCTCAAAGTAGTAGTGATACCCATAGTTAATGGTAAGTTTATCAAGTTTGCTGTTTGAATTTTGTTTAAAAAAAAGTTCCACATAATTGTTACCCCAAAATAACTCTGAAACCCTTCAAATGCTAAACAATGTGCATAAAAATACACTCCTCTGACAGATTACAACGTCATAGGGACATGTTTCTCTGTTTCTTCTAGACGACACTCAAACATCCCACTAGGGGTCGCAGTTTTACTGTTACAATCTCTGGTTTAAACAGAACATATCTTGGTTAAATAATCTCATTATAACTCGTTTCATACCTTTTTAAAACAAGAAATCTGCTTGTTTAGCACTTATTTATACTGACATAGCCATCATTTGCAGATTTGTGACGAACAAATCTCACTTTCCTTCAGTCCCAGTATTTGGGCAAATTCTGTCGTGTAGTTTTCAGAGGAATCATTCCTAAACTGACTGGCGCAAACTACAATTTTCTTTAGCAATACTGGAAGGACATCCCAAGCAAACTAAAATGAAGCCACACAGCTCTGCTTTATGTGACTCTGAGAAAATGCTTAGACACATTGTCTGTATTGCAGCAGACAACAAAACATCTACCTTTTCCAGCAGCCACTGTACGGCGAAACCAGCTGAACAAACTTGGTGTTTATTTATTCCCAAAAAACAGCTTTTTTCCCCCTATTGGGCTGTTATTAGCAGTAGGTACCCAAATGGAAGGACAGAAACATGTGAGAAGTAAATAGTGGACCTTTAAATACTTTTGTAGTATTGCCATAAGTAGTCTTCATGCTAACCTGTATTAACATGTGGAGGCTACAGTGTTACTGCCTGGTAGAAAATTCATAAATCTGTAAAAGCAATCATAATCAGTACGCCTTTGTATTAAGTTTAACAGCTACGTACAAAAAACTAAACAATCTAAATGGTTTCCAAAATACGTTTACTCAGCTAAAGTAATTACATTTGTACTATTTTGCGTCTGTTTGTTCTGGATGTTAAGAAGTAAGAGCTGGTTTGGGATCAACATAAAATGTCAGTGAAAAGACATTGTTCCTGTCAAACGTTATCCTTTGGTAATTACGATTGACTACCTCAGGGTTAGCTCAGCTTACTAGCAAGTTTGTCTTTAGTGTTAGCACTGTTGCTAATCTAGTTAACTCGTCTCAGAAAGTAGGAATCTTGGCTTTTAATGAATTGACATGTTACCTAAGGATTTCCATACATGACATGAACAACTCAGTGGTTGTATTTATATGAATCTGTCTTCAGGATGGAAGGTTTGTGATTTGATTTGAACCCAACCTGATTTTTCTTTTACAGTTCAACTTGATAAGGGTTACCCACTTCCTGCACTCGGAAAAATGAACCTTGTGAACCCCCAGCTTCAAATAATGAAGGTTAGAGATGTGATATTTTCTGTTCTGACTTTGGCAGAGATCAGAATCATATTCTACATAAAAGTGTTGAAACCCACTGATTTCTGAGAAACCTTTCTTTTCTGTGTTTTATTTGCAGGATTACATGCTGATCGGGACAGATGTTAACTTCACAGGTTGAACAGCAAAGACCCAAAGATGGGAAGAATACTGTGTTTTTCTTTTTTTTTCTTTTAAACCGTTGTCAAAATTATTTTCATTTTGGACTTGTTTTTCTACATTTGTGTGATTTTTATTTTATTTTTTACTCTCCTAAAAACTGTAGATGAGATGTTTGTAGAACTGGTGCCCTCTATTATTCCGTCTCAGGAATAGTTCACTCCTTCCAAAGCAGATTGCAGCACCTCTCAGCTGATGACTTTAGCTAAATTCTGTTTGAAAGTTTCTGGCTAAGTGAAATGATTCTGTGAATGTGCTGATCTGAACAGTTCTCCTGCAGAATCTCCTTCCTGTGTCACTGTAACCAATCAATCAAATTCATTGAGGGGAAAAAACAGAAATCAGACACAGGCAATAGTTATAAACAATTATTTATCATAATAAATAACTGGATTTTAGTCAAATAAATACAACTGATCTTGATGATAAAACCGTATAAAGCTGAACATTAAATAGTGGTTTATAGCATCACTTGTATCCATCACAGCTGGGGGTCGCGGTTGATCTCAGGGAGCTGTGACTGAGGGCCCGGCCCCTCAGGCTCTGGGAGCCGGCTGACAGGATCTACACAGACAGGAGACATCAGACTGAATGTAGCAGAAACCAGACTACTGACATGTCAGATTATCCAGCTGTACAGATGTGACATGTACCAGACTGAAAATGTAGCAGGTGTAGCAAATACTTCCACTCAAATTGTATTTTTATTGTACATTTCAATAGGAAAATGACATTCAATTATTTAATTCTATGGTTCAGGGATTTTTCTCACTGTGAAAACTATGATGTCAAACTACTGACAAGAAACTTGTAATCATTGTATCTAATGTGATCAGTGTGGAAATGATTGAATTGGTTCTAATAAATGTTTGTCATCATCTTAATGTGAAATTTATTTATTTTTTTATTGTGGGAGCCCTTTATTATCAAAGTTCATGTTTTAGTTCATGTAAGTTTCTGTGTTAGGATCAGGAATCAAGAATTTGAGCGAGTTTAACTACTTTTAAAGGCTACCCTTACACCATCTCTAATACTGCAGTTACTGTAAAATGTTGAAATGTTCACATTTACCATAATAGATACAGACTGGGAATGAAGTCCAGCCACTTTGGTCCAATCTGATAAACTAATGCAGGACAAATTACTAAAAAGAATAAAGCTGGTTCTAACACAAATACTTCAGTTTGAGCTGCAGACCAATCAGTATAGAAACTGTTCTCTATTGGCTGTGGCTTCCAGCAGAACAACGCTCCATACCACAAAGAAAAAATGCTTCAATGGTCTGAGATGTTGACTTGAATCTGTTGTACTTTAAACCTAAATGAAAGCTTTAAAGTACAACAGATTCTGAATCTGTTCAGAATCTGTTGAGTTTCTGAACAGATTCCAGTTATATGTGGAGATGAAAGCTAACCCATCCTACCTTCACCAGCACATAGTCTCCCCCACGGATTGGTGCGGTGTTAGACACACAAGCCTGAACGGCAACATCTTCTTTGGGGAAAATCACTTTCATGTTCCCATCAGTTCTCCCACACAGATCCTCAGCAGATCTTTTACTTTCCTTAATATAAATGGAGAGCAGAGTTGAGCGGCGTTGCCTGGTAACAGGTTAAAGTAACCCTGCACAGATACACGACTTTTGCTGTTGCACACAATGATCATATCAGAAATGTCAATATATTCATTTCTGAAGGAGATAATCTAGATCACATTTCCCATCACTGAATTCAGCTCCACTGAAATAGAAACTGTCCTGTTTTCATGTTCATTTTAATGTGAACCTTTTAGTTTTAAACCCACATATGAAATGTGATTGTAGTTTCTCAGATTTTATCACGATCCAACCACAACCTGAATATCATCACCTTCCTAAAACAATGGCCTAAGTCATTCTTTGCCAAAACAGATTTTGGGAAAGAAAAAAAAAGAAAATCATTCTCCCTCTTTCTTTCCAAAACATGTTACAGGGAAAAAAAATCACATCTGGCAAAAAATAACTTAGGCCATTATTTTAGAAAAGTATTTTAATCTTGTTGTTTTGTGACAGACCAACGCAATACAATAACTGCAAAGTGGAATTAAAACAAGACAGGGGTGTTGAATATCTTTCTACAAATGATATTTAAAATGTAACATACATTTTATTGAGCCTCCTTCATTTCTAAAATACATATAAAATGCAACAAAGATTTGGATTTTACTGAGAAAAAAAAATGTAAAATGTCAAGGGGTGTGAATATTTTTGCAAGGGTTAAACAGGGTGGGAAATCAAAAATAGATGATCGAGGCGACTGAGTCACACCCTGATCAGATATGTAAAAAGTTTCAGCTTTTTTCATGCGGTCAGTGAAGTACTCACTCCCTCCACCAGCACCAGCTGCGTGCTGCCAACGACAGCAGCGTTCACTCTCTCTGCTTCCTCTCTGAAAACGCTGATGCATTCCTCTAGCCGGCGCTGCTTCACCTGCGGCACCACGTTGTCCTGCAGCCGATGGAAGGCGTGCGTCTTCTGAAAGAGAGCGGGACGAAAGAGTAAATACCACAAAGCACGACACTGCAGCGGTTCAGCAGGAGCTTACCTTTCGCATGCTGTAGGCAAACAGGAAGCCCACGTTGAAGCCCACCTCTCTGATCAGGGAGAGAGTTTGCTGATGGTCGTCGTCCGTTTCACCACAGAAGCCTGAGATAAAGTCGCTGCTGAGACTCACGTCTGACGCATAAGAATGAAGATCACCAGTCAATCGGATTTTACAGAAACTTACTAAAAGAAAACCTATGAAGCCAACACCACAATGCTGATCAAAGGATTGTTCCCTATCCATTGATCAGCATGGATTCCTCAGAAATCCATGCGATTTCTGAGGAACTCTTGATTGTTTTTAACAATCATCCTCAAAAACAGCTTGAAGTTGTATTAACTTTGAATGAAAATATTTTTGTGACTAACAGTGTTGGGCACACTTCCCCTAATGCACTAATAGTAGAGCTAATTTTTAGCTAAGCGCTTTCGGTAACTTTGCTAGCATTTAGCATACCTAGTTTCTCCAAAGTTAATTGTTCCTGAAAACATCTAAGACATTAATTCACTTGGCTGTTTTGTAAACCTCTGTACTCAAGTTTTAGTTATTGACATGAAGACTTTTTTCAAGAAGTTAGATGTTTATGTTCCTGCTCTTCTTTTGAACACACAGCCGTTCTGTTTCCTCCCATCGCTCTCTAGTTTCCCTCCAATAACTTTATTTCTAAGGACATTATTGAACATGTTAACTATAATGTCAAAATTACATTGGTGCTCAAGTCTTTCAAGGGCAGACGTCATTTGAATTTAAGTTAACATTTTAGTATCAGCTTAAACTCAACACAGTGTTGGTGGAACGCTTCAGCGTTATCAGAACTAATGTTTATGATTCGTGGTTTGGGTTTAGTGTAACTATCTTTTTAGTTATTTTTACAAATAAAAAAACAAAAACTACACCTGTGTAATTCCTTGTGCACTTTGATTAGACTGTCAGACCATCAAACATATTTGGAACATCTTTAAACTCCTTTGAAGCAGCAGCTTCTGTCCAGCTGCAGGCTGAAAGCTGAGGGCTACAGCGGCGCCGTCTGTAGTTCACTCTAGTACTTCTTTTTCTTTTCATTCGTTTTCTAAAAGTGAATAAACGCTGACGTCTCTTGCCCTCTCATTGGCTGAGTCAGCAGTAAACGACGCTCCCCGATGGGTGCAGGGTCGGCCTCCTGCAGCGAAGGCGTCAGAACGGATTATACAACTTTAACTGCAATTCAACATTTTTGTGAGAACAACAGAGCCGTATTTATGTAAAGCAACATACAGCACAGGTCGGATGTTTCCACGTAGTCATCATCAGAATAAATTTCATAATAATTTAACATTTTTAATGGTTGGCTTGAAGGTGACTGAGACCCCAAACACATCAAACTGGTTTATAAATGTTATTTCTGTGCAGTTATGGTCAGATTCCCATAAGACAAACATCTTATTTAGTAATACGAAGTGACAGAAGATAAATCAAAGTGGTTCTAGTTGCTTACCTGGGATGATTTGCTTTATATTGTCCACCAGATCAAGGTAGGCCTCTCTTGTGTAACTGAGCAGGAAAAGTAGAGTCCAATATAAAAAGATTCCATAAAACAAAATCCTCCAGCTGTTATTTTAAAATGCCACCATAATAGATTTTGACAGACAATACTTAGTCCCAGAAGTTATTGTGATAAATGATGAAATTGCTGATTTGAGATCATTTCAAGTAATAAAATGCTAATGGCAAAGTAATGCGAGAACACATTCTCAAATTCGAATGAACAATTAAACAGAACAACAGAAACAATATTTAAAATGAATTATGAATTATTTTTAAACAACATTGTCCTTCAAAAAAAGGGCTAGTTGAGACAAAGGACTTTTGTCATCCAGTTTTTGGTAAAAAAAAAAAAAAAAAGAAAACAAAAAAAAAAAGAAAAATGATAAATCATACAAATAGAAATTATTGAGTTAGTTTCAATTTATCATGCAATTAACTGATTTGTTGCCTATTGTGACAGGCCTACAAATGGTGGCAGTGATTTCCTACCCCCGGCGCATGGCCTTCAGGACCTGGTTGCTCCCGCTCTGAGCCGGAAGGTGGATCTGCTTACAAACGTTCTGTCGCTCAGCAATCAGCTGCAGAACCTGGAGGAACCCATCATACACCAGAACTCACCATCCTGGGTTAAACAGCAATAGCTCAACAGAACTGTATTATTTTCTCTAGTGGAACCTTTGTGTTTGACAGGAAATCAACGGGAACACATTCCCATCCAGAGAGAACGTGACGTGCGGGATGTACCTCATCAGGAAAATCCTTGGGGTGGGGGGAAGTGAACCTTATCCTCATGTCGGGGTCAATGCGCGACACGAGGTCGAGCAGGTCGGAGAAGCGCAGGCCTCCCTGTTTGGCTCGGTAGACGGTGCTGAAGCCGCGGCTCAGCTTGGTCCGCTCCGAGCTGCAGAACTGAACCTCTGATGTGTCCCTGTAGCTGTTCACATTCTGACCCAGCAGAGTCACCTCCTTCACACCCTGGCACATACACAGACACACACACACAAACACAAACACACACTCAAGTTTGTCTCACTATCTTTGTGGTAACTTTCCATTAACTTCTATTCGTTTCTACAGCCTAACCTTACTCCAAACTTAACTCACACCTTAGTCCTAAATGTAACCTAAAAACAGCATTTCCCCTTGTGGGGCCCAGGTTTTGGTCCCCACAAGGAGCAGTGGGTTTCCACAATGTTGTACATGTCAGAAAAATGGTCCACATAATGCATCAAATACATGGTACACACACACAAACACACGTTGGGATGAGTGCTGATCCTAAAGGTTTTCTTACATGTTCATGTATTATAACTGATGTTATATACCTTTGGTGTTTTTTGTGTAATTTATGATGTTAAGATTTTTGTTTTTTAAGTAAAAAAGCTTTCTTTAGTCAGGTCTGGTTTTGAGTAAAAGTTTACTAAAAGTTTGAGTAAAATGTTTGTGGTTCCATTTACCACAAAATGAAGATACTTGCAGAAACTCTATGTCTGTCCATCCATCCATCCATCCATCCATCCATCCATCCATCCATCCATCCATCCATCCATCCATCCATCCATCCATCCATCCATCCATTTTCTTCCGCTTCTCCGGGGTCGGGTCGCGGGGGCGGCAGCCTCAGAAGGGAGGCCCAGACTTCCCTCTCCCCAGCCACTTCTTCCAGCTCCTCCTGGGGAACCCCAAGGCGTTCCCAGGCCAGCCGAGAGACATAGTCCCTCCACCGTGTCCTGGGTCTTCCCCGAGGCCTCCTCCCAATGGGACGTGGCCGGAACACCTCACCAGGGAGGCGTCCAGCAGGCATCCTGACCAGATGCCCGAGCCACCTCAACTGGCTCCTCTCGTAACTCTCTATGTGTACATTATAAATAAGTGATCTTTTACTTTGCATTTTATTTTAGAATTATATATTTTGTCTGTCAAAATGTTGCCCTAAAAATATTTTAAAAATCTCCATCTGCATCATCTACCAACACTTGCAGCCCAGAGTCGCTCAATTGTAGGACTGTGGTCTGGGGGCCCACAAAATTATTCAGACGGACACAAAAATGGCCCCCACACCGCACTTTGAACATCACTGACTTGGATGTTAACCTGTCTTTAAAAGACAGTTTTCGTCTCTATGCTAAACAGGGACCAAGTTTTTCTCATATTTTATTTTTTTACTCAGCGGTCTACTAGATTCCTGTTTTGTTATTTTATAAATATGTCAAAAGTTACATAATGTTTGAGAAAACCACTATTGTGTTTAATATTACTAATAATACTGACAAGAAAGTCCAGTGAGAAAAAAACGACATAAAATTAAATAGTCCTGGCACAGCAAAATTTAAGATTAACATATTTAAGGTCAAATTAATTGTTTCTTTTTTATGAATTTAAGACATTTTAAGGCCTTTAGATACAAGAATTAAAATGGACAGTATTATGTACGATCATTTTTTTTTAGCTTTAAATCATGTTATGATGTTATTCCCTCATCTGGCACATACCTGGAGTGTTGCCTTAATTCTTTCATGCATGTTTGAGATATCCTCTAATCTCCATGGTAACCATTCTGCTGCGCAAAACACCTGAGTCGACTTAGCTCCTCTTTTGAGGACAAATCTCCTTGGAGCTGCAATTTCCAACCTTCTGAGTTTCTGCCTAACAAGACACAAGACACCTCCACCCCGCTCCTTCAGACTAGCCAGGAGCAATTAGCAAACAGCCGGTAGAACTGTGCATCTG